CCCCCTGCCACCTGTTGTCATGGCAACACTGCCGCATCCCCCCCGCTCCGTGGCTGCCTGTGGGACCACAGCTCCAGGCCCCAGTGCCCCCTCCTCACAGGCAGATCCCTCCACCCCCCATGACAAAATCTCCCCCCCTCATTACATTTTGCCGGTATCTGCTTTCCGGCAGCCGTAGACCTCCCCGAAGCCACCACGGCCGATGATGCGGTGAACGCTGAAGTCATTCATAGTCAGCTGGAGCAGGCGAGAAAGAGGCAGGCGTTACCCCGGACGCCTGGGTTGGGTCCCATGGTGTCCACCGTGCTGGGGAAGCTGTGTGAGCGTGCGTGTGGGCCGTGGTGGCGGTGGATGGTGGGGGCCATGGAGGAACATGGAGGCTGCTCTGCGTATCCTCACGAGCACGGGTCGGTGTGGAAGTGCAACTTGCCTCCGTGCGAGTGCGAGAGCCCATGGGTGTGTGTGAGGGTGCCGGGAGGAGCGTAAGGGTGCCTGTGCAAGGCTACCTTGCCAGGAGTGGGGAGTCCCACGGGTGGCAGCCTTGTCCCTGTGCCCGTGTCTCTCTGGGGGACTGGGACCCATGCCTCCCGCCCTGGCAGTGCCCCCAGAGATGCCCTGGGGGTGCCCCCTGGCACAGGGGTCCCTACTCACATGGATGTTCAGCTCCACGTTCTTCCACTGGCAGAACCGCGTGAACTTGTCACTGCAACGAAGCAGAGAAAGGGCAAAAGTGGAGCTCCTGGAAGGACCCTCAAGACCCATCTGGGGACAGACGGATCCTGGGACATGTCTGGAGACAGAGAAACCCCCTGGGGCCCCCATCCCGGGACAGAGAGATCATCCCTGGGGATGACAAGGCCCCCCTGAATCCCTAGTCCGGAGACTCTTGGAATTCCTATCTAGGGAGGTGCCCCGGCCCCCTCTCTCGGCTGGGAGACCCTGGCCCCACGGGTGGGCTAGGACACCCCAGCGCCAGCAGGCCTGTCCCCGCACCCCATCTCACCTCTCAATGAATTTCTGGAAGATGCCCCCACGCAGGTTCTGGCAGATCTCCTCAATGTAGGGCTGGGGGAACATGAGGATCAGTGCTGGGTCCCCACTGCCACCCACGATCACCCGTACCCCTTGGGTCCCCCTCATTATTTGGGGTCTCCTCTACCCTTGGGAATTCCCATATTCCCACTGTCACCCTTTAGGGACTCCCTGCCAGTGCCAGCCCCCAGGCAACCCTACTGCCACCCAGGGTCACCTTTATCTCTTGGGACCCCAATATCATCATCTCTGGGCATCTCCATCACACCCAGCACTCCAAGGACCCCATCACCATCCCCAGAGACTCCCTGCCACTGCGAACCCCCTGGGGACCCCACTGCCAGCCCAGGTCACCTGCATCTCTGGGGTCTCAATCACCACTCATTGAGGACTCCCACAGCCCTGAGGTCCCCTACTCACTGCCCGTCCCCAGGGACCTGATTACTACCCCATGCAGACCCCCAGCAATCCCCCCTCACTGCCAACCTCCTGGGGATCCCATCACCATCCTTTGGGGCCCCCACATCCTCTGGGAGCCCTCAACCCCCACCCTGGGGCCCCTGTCCCTGCAAGGCCCCCAACACCCTCTCGCCAGCCTCTTGAAAGGATTAACCCCCTGAGTACCAGAAGTGGCAGGGACCCCAGGTCTGTCCTGGGCGATGCCCACCTGGAAGAGGTCTGGGGGCACCTGCTTCTTGCTCAGGCGGCTCTGGACATGCTCCGTGGCACTCTTGGAGAAGGGCTGCAAGGCAAGATGGGATCAGGTCACTCCTGGGCAGAGAGGATGGGGGCACCGGGGACAGGCATTCCCACAGGGGCCAGAGAGGGCTGCACAAATGGGGGAACCTGTGGAAAACATGCACCTACCCATGGCATTGGGTCTGTGGTGGTTTCAGCACCCCCCGCAACAGAGCTGATGGTGGTTTTGAAACCCTTCCTGAAGACACTGGGTACCACATACCCCCCAAGCGCTCTGGGTACCCCACCCTGGGCACAGCGCCTGGTGGCATCGCACTCACGTGGGAGCAGGCCAGCAGCTCCTTCATAATGTAATGGTCAAAGATGTGGCGGCTCCGGGCAGCTCGCTCCTCCTCGGAGTCCAGCTTCTCATACTTCTTGATCTGGCAAGGGCACAGCTCCTGTTGGCACGGGGGTACAACAGCTCCCCACGCCCTCCGCGGGCCACAGACGTCACCCCCCATGGGGCAGGCGCAGCCCTGGGCGAGACAGCTCCCCGGCACCTGGTACTCTGGCAACCACATCCCCAGGCCCTCCGCGTACCACATCTGGGACACCCTTTGGTTAGCTCATCTCCTGGGTATCCCATCCCAGGCACCCTGCCCCTTGGGCACTTTGGGCACCCTGGGTACCACGTTCCCTGTGTACCCTGGCTATCACTTCCCAGGCACCCTGGGTACCACGTCCCCGGGGCATGGTGCCTACTACATGTGCTGGGCACAGCGGGAACGACATTCCTGGGCACTGCAGTTACCAAATCCCTGCCTCGTGCCCGCGAGACGCCGGGGTCCGTCCAGCAACGTCCCCCCATCTCACCTCCTCATAAAACTCCATGAGGGGTTTGGCCTCCTCTGCCTGGTTGAGGGCGAAGTCGCGGAAGAGCAGGTACCCTGGCAGGGGCACACGACCGGCTGTGAGAGCTGCCGTCCCACAGCAGAGCCCGGCGCCCCCAGACTGGGGCGCTCGGGGACCCCCTCCCTGGGCCTGCCTGTCCCTCGCGCCAGGCTCGGGGATGGGCCGAGTGGCCAAACCAGCCCCAGGACTGTCGGCAGG